ATGAGTTTTCTTTTTTATTCTTGAAATTAGCCACTTATTATTAGTAGTACTTTTATTTAGCATTTCTCATGTTTATGTTTCGATAAAACGTCTTACTACCTAAATTTACTTACTTATCTCCACTTAGGATAGGAAGGTTATAAAGCTGTTTGTAAAGTATTCAATTTAACTATCGAAAATGGCGACTTAACATTATGTTCTCTACAATAGTATAATGGATTACAAATAACAGATAGGTAAAATGATTTATTATGCCTATAACTACTCATAGTTTACAAGTAGTATTCTGTAATACAAAAAATAAAACGATTTAATGAAAATTCCGAGTTGGTAACTAAAATATTCTACCCTGCTGTTTTAAACCTTTAGTCGGTACATTAAGTTACTTAAAGATGCAGTGTACAATGCTATTATTTCTAATCTCGCCAGGGCTGAATTTCTTGAAATGTAACTAAAACTAATCAATTTGACCATTTTTGTTAATATTTGTGAATTCCAAGTGATTTAATTCTCAATAAAAAAGAGAAGAATTGTCATTAAAGTGGAAACATATTCACTCACAATTCGAGCAAGAAAATGACAATGTCTGTAAGAAAAGTTGACCTGCCCAACTCCAAACACTGTAGAGCAAAAAAACTTGGTGGTTTGTAATAGTTCAACAGTGCATGCACTATTCATTATACGGAATAAGTCTAGAATATGTGATTTTCATTGAAAGAGTGATTACAGCTTAGTTCCTTCAGGGTAAGGTGAACTCCGTGATAACAAAATGTCGAGGGTTTGATTGTGTGTGGAGAAATGAAGATGAACTGTCAAGAAGTTCAAGATGGTGATAAAATATTTAACTCTCATATGCTTTTAAGTGCTGGAGGTGTAGTGAGTTTGTGATGAAAATCACCACCAAAATAAAGTTTCCAAGTTATTCAAATTAAAGAATTTGTCACGTCAAATTTTGAGCCGAAAAAACTGGTGAAGAAAAGCTTATTTTAAACAGTATTAAAATTTTTTTGGATATTTACATTTGTCTGTACGTCTTTTCAAGAAAGTGATCATAACAGTCGTCACACCAAGTTTGACAGAAAGTCCCAAACATCCACTGATTTCCTTTCCTGTCATGGGATCCCTCTCGGTTTTCAAATAAGAAATTCAGCATATTTTTGAGTACAATCAACAAATTAATTATTTTCTTCCCTCACTTATCTCTAATTTTACTATTATTACTATTATTATTATTACTAGCTTTACTCAATATTGTATTTTTAGTACAATATAGAACTCTCGGCGCAAGCTATTTCGACAAGTTTCCGTCTCTTATTTCTTGATCGATCCTGACAATTAATATTGGGTGATGGTCAATTAGATGTTAACAGTTTAAGAATCAACATCTGAATAGTGTACATTCTTTTCCATCTATATTTCCAGCGACCATAAGGTCTTGATTGTGCTTTTTCCTAACTTGTATAGCGAAATGTCGTGTGCTTTTCAGAAACGCAAATGTGCAGTTAATTAACATAATGATCTGTTGAAACAAACGGAAGACTGATAACCTGTTGAAATATCTAGATGGCAGTAACAGGTAGCCCAGGCAATCAAGCTTGAGAGAGATATGCGTAGGCTGTCATGTGATCAAGAGTACATATTTATATCGACAAGATAGTGATCATAATAGTAAAAAAACATGCAAATTGTTACTGTTTGAATAATATTGTCTGTTAAGTAAGTTAATAAAAAGGCTGAACCAGAATTTAACCATAATCAGAGCATAGGAAGATAATCTGAAAATGCTAAAGAGGACTAGACCAAAGCGTACCCCCAGTTTAGAGTTATTGATTGATCCCATTCGTGTTCGAAAGTGCAGAACCACTGAACGAATCCCTTTGATAAGCAACATTAAATGACATAGATCAAAACCACTCAAAGTGGTGTAGACCCATCATCTCCCTCATCTTACTTTAGATATTCAGTTTTACTGTTAAATTAGAATTCTCATTCCTCAATTTAATTCGCTCTTCCCAAACTATGTGGGTTTTTTCTAATATCATTGACACTTCTGTATTCCATTCCGTTATAATCTCACTATCTTACGCTTACTATCCTCATTTGAAAAGTGATATGCATTTGCGCCAGGTTCTATATTTCACATGACAGACTGATTCAGGTCGATAGAATTAATTAAATTTAGACCTATTTCGGGCTAAAGATATCACTTAAGTAAACCTAATTAATAAAGGTTGGAATCTGAGGCATTACTTGTCCAAGAATTTATACTAGTGGAACTTGACATGTAGACAAACAACAGTCAGAAGCTTAATCCACTAATTAATTCAAGTATGTACATTCATAGTATAAACTACTGAGTGGAACAGAACAATTTAGGTATAAATGTAAGTAAACATTGTTTAAATTACAATTGCACATCTCAGTCAAAAGTATCATTGGAATTAAAATTTTATCATTTATTTATTTTCTATAATTTAGACTGAATATAATCTGCAAAAAATTGGAATGATTCAGTCATCAACTGCATCAAATCATGCAAAAACTATCAATACAGACAATGGAAACAGTACTGAACACCGGAAGTTACGATGATGTCGGTTAAATACTCCAATTATATGCCCACATTAATTCAACTTTATACTGAAAGCAAGCTAGAATTTAGTTGTTTTCCATGCATGTAATTGTGCTACTCACAAAAACAAATACATAAGCACAAAAAGCGATATAGTATTGAGGTTTTCTTGTCTGAGTATAGAGCACTCAGTGAACACATCAATTTGTCAGTAATAGCATCTTTCCAACAAGCCCACTCATCAAGTAATTAGTCATGAGGTACACTTTAAGTGTGAGCGGTAATATTAGTACCAGGACGTCCAAACTGAAGTAGATACAGATTGGAACCTGAGGATTGTGACTGAAATCGAATGCATTAGGCGCCAAGACACAGTTACGATTTTAGATTGTGTTGTTGGGTGGTTAAAGGAGATCAAACAGTAATCCTAAACTAAGGTTTTATGATGATCGTCGCTGATCACTAAGGTGTATCAACACTCAAAAAGAAACTGGATCCTTCTGGAAATGTTAGAAAAAGAGCCATCTAGAGAACATTATCACTTATATATCCGAGCGATAACTGGGCTCAAGTTAGTACTGGAAGTACAATGCAACACCAAACCACTTAACATAGCCGTTACACTGCTAAGTTGGTCTACAGATTCAACAGTGACATTTAACACTACCCATCAACCAAATAATGTAGATTGTAGGGTTTAACTAGGACCTTCGAGATAACGTGGTTCAGAGTTGATCACAATGGCGCAAACGCATCATTCTGTTGCCCTAAAACTTAAGTGCCTTACTGTATTGCTCTTATCTATTCTGTCTTATCCGTGTGACGATGCTGAGTGTTGTGCTAAATTCTACATCGTTTTGTCTCCTGTATTGTTCATAAAAACTGCTTTACCGTGTACATTTGATCGCACTTTTATTCAATAATTTTTATTTCCATTAAGATTAATATACATCGATGAACAGAAATAGAATCTGCATTGCTCAATCTTTTGAATATAAGCTTATACTAAGGCTCCTGTAAATGATTTAACAAAAAGATAGTGTACATATCTAAATAACCAGACTTCAACGTGTCTGACACAACACTATGATTTCTATGACGTGATATGTAAATCGAGAACTTTAATGAGTTATGTCACCTTGTTCGATTAAAAAGCAGTGTCTGTGACATCACAGGCATTTTCGAATGTAGCGTTATACTAGTGGGACCTTGGCCTGAAGGATACGGCAGTGATGGGACATTAATCAAATCTTCATTTTAGGGAAATAAATTTCGGTTACTACCAGATAAGTAAATAATATCACAAAAATTAGCAAGCCAAAATTCCCCTAATTCTCAAATCATTTGATCTCAATGAAGTTATATAAACTCAGAAAGAACGCTCAAAAACCCTATGGTCGTTTAGATACAATATGTAATGTTCAACTAATTACAGTGACATAGCTATGTGAACCCAGCAACCACCTATTATAACCTAAGGCTTGTTTGACCGATTAATTGACAATAATATATGAACAATAACTGTATTCAACAAAACTACAGATCAAGAGGTATTTTACAAATCACTCCATACAATTTACATACGTCTATATCTACCGAATTCAGGGTCGACTCTATGACACAGACAACCATAAATTGGTTCATAATTGAGGAACAGCTCCCTGACCCCCGAATGTCCTGGTACGACCGTGAGTGAGGAGAGTCCGCTCTCTCTCTCCAAATGCTCTCACATGGTCACGCGAGTATACATAGCCTCTATCAGGGAAGTCCTACTCACTGCCTTCTCTCGGCATTACTATTGTTTACGAAATTGAGAGGACGAAAAGCGAATGTCCGGCGCTTTAACCGGGTTCATCCAGGGGAGTTGGAAAACTCTAACTCCAAACCAATGGTGCACATGGGCTTCAGTATCCTGACGAAACAAATGGCGTATGAACCGGTTGTTGGTCACCGGCTACCATGGGACTGCATCTCCTCACGATGCTCCACTGCCTTGTGGATGAGATCTTTAGGTCAAAGGCTCCGGGTGTGGCCCCCCAAGAAAACCACCTGCTTCAGTTTGGGCACCTGAGCAGTACCATAGCCCTCAGACAAATCAAATGAGATTTATGAGGCGCATCTGGTGCCCCTTTGTACCAATATTTATGTTTAAATAAAAAATAATAATCATAACAGCTCCTTGACCATAAGCGCACTAAACTCGTTTCTTTAACTATATCTTTGAGTATTTCTCACCTTGGATATCAAATAGGAGATTCAAATCAACTGGCATACCAGTTCACAAATATCTCATCAATTTCGGTCACGTAGTAACACGAAACAAAATGAAAATGGACTAGGGGATTGTGTACAGCAAAAGGTATGAAGCAATAAAAAAATTCATATATGAACTTAGTTTAAGAGCCTCAAGTCAGACCTGTAATCATATCATGTTTTCCAAAAGCCCCTTTCTACTCGATAAGTCATTATTATTACCGGTTTGTTTCCATCTCACCTTTATATTCATCAAGACGATTATTAACTCGAATTCTTCTCATTAACATATGATTCTCGTCCAACGATTTCTGATGCCTTTTAAATTACTCCTAAACTTCTTTCACATGTTTGAAATTCCCGGAAAATGCCTTCGTCTATCTTATAATAAACTACTATACAATGACTCCCTGGTTGGAGTCCTAGATATGGTGCAACAATGGCTTGAGATGTTACGACATAGCTCAGAATAAAAGCCAGCAGCTATCCTGTTGTAAATTTCTTCTACTTTCTTCATGAAAGTAAACGTAACTTCTTTAACTGAAAGAATTCTTTCTAGTTGCATTTTAAATAACTGAACTGTTTCGCCCATTACTGTTATTACTATTATTATTGTTGTTACTATTATTATTTCATTCTTACATATTTCTGTTCATTATTACCCTTCTTTTTATTAAACTCACCCCCCATTCCCTATCTCTGCACAACCTCGTTATTATTGTATGGCGCATATGTCTTTGGTGCCCCCTTGTACTGATGCTAAAATAAATAAATAAACACTGTACCTGCCAAATAACTATTACTACGAATTTACAGCACTACTGACTGGTCTTGTTAAAATATATATATTCTTAGGCAATTAGTCCTCAATGTTTTTTTATAATGGCAAAGTATGTATCTTTTAACGTTTAAAAAGAGGAAAATCACTCAAATCAATAATAAAGGTTGAAAATTGAATTAAAATTACAAAATAAGTCATCATGTTTACTCAGTACTGAGAATAATATTCGGTTTACAAAAAGACCAAAATATGTACAGTAATTAAGCGTACTATAGAAATGTAGTGTACATGTACATGGATAAACAGCAAATAGGGATAGATTTACCTCATGATTCTGAATATCATTGGGAAGAAAGTGAAAGATAATACCATTACTAATTTCGTTAATTAAGTTAACAGGTTTTTGAAAAAATTATCATTAGTCTTCAGTGTTAGAATCGATAAAATTTGGCACAACATTAGCATCAATTATATCGGGGAAAAACCTACTACTTTGTGTTAATGTACTAGAACAGGATATTTCCTTATCTGTTTTTTCAGAATAAGGAGGTATATTCCACACATTCTCCGGTAAACGATCCATTTCAACAGGAGAAAAACATTGTACACGCATACCCTCAAAATCTCTGTATTCCCTGAGTTTATTTTTTGAAGACCAAAGTAGATAATATTCTTTTCCAGGAATTTGAACCACTGATTCCAAGGCAGTAATATAAGCTAGTTCTTCAGCAATCCTCAGACTATCTGAGGCACCTGAAGCAATTAACTCCTGGCGAGACTCTTTCCATCCATTAGAGAACAGCACCATATGGGAAAGTATACTAGGCGACCAATTGGTAAATAGTAAATTATTTAAAAGAGCTGGAGCGCAATGTGGTAGCATAACGAAATAAAACCGATCAGGTGATAATTTGTAACAACCTTCTTTATTGTTCGGTAGAATCTAGATAGAAAAAAACAGATTAAAAGATTTAAACGACGTTCTCGATATTAGTTATAACAACTGAAGATGCCACAGGTATTCAGAGTTCGACAACGCTTTAACCAGTAACACCGATTATGAATCGTACCCACTAAGTGAAACCAAAAGACAAAAGCGAGGAGGTTCGAAGATATATTTGATGGGTTATCAATATATCGTGGATTGCAGGGGATGTTGAGCATGGCGTTCCCACTTGTGATCTGGTGCGGATGCATGACCGAGTGCCTTCAGCTAAATGAGTCTATTAAAAACAATGTGGTCAGCACCTATTATCGAAGACTTACAGAGCTATTCATTTTTGGGATTTATTTACCGCTACACAACCATACATTCTCAATTCATTCCATGAATGTGTAGGTAGCATTTTCTGCAATCTGTTCGTGTCATACATCCAGGTAAACTGAAAAAAACGGCGAGTTTAACTGACTTTCGTCATTGTATGTTTAACACTGATGTACAGTAAGCCAACTTTGTTATTATTCGTTGGATAAACCTTACTTTATCACCCCATTATCATTTTATTAACCATAAAGAAAGTATCTCGTACGTGCACGCGATAAACGCATAATAATGGCTAACAAAATAGTTTGGCCAGCTTTCTATTCTAGTCTATAATGTTGTCAATAAACTTAGTGAACATTAAATTAAGCAGGTGTTTGGCTAAAATTTAAGTGCCTGACTTTTATAAACCAGGTCAGATTCAAACTGACTTTGTTTTAGTGGTAAACCATCGAATAATGAAAAGGATCAACAGGAAGTACAATTTCCAAGGGTTTTGAGGATATTTAATCACTGACATTCTCAGACAGTTAAGTCAATTGAAATACAGACAAGGCAAGGACCTGGCACGGTGTCGTCACAAAATACCAACACCCACAATTAAAAAATAAAATAATATGTAAAATGAAGGTGCCTCACAAGATACTGCACGAGACATTAACGAGCTACACGAGTTCCGTCCTAGACTAGTTCACTAACTATAATTTTAAAACAAGACTACTAACATGTCGTTAAGGTGTTGCTTACTTACGCCTGTTACTCCCAATCGAGCATAGGCCGCTGACCAGCAATCTCCAACCCACTCTGTCCTGGGCCTTCTTTTCCAGTTCTATCCAGTTTTTGTTCATTCTTCTCATGTATGTCTCTATTTCGGCGTAATGTGTTTTTTGGTTTTCCTCTTCTCCTTTGGCCTTCAGGATTCCATGTGAGGGCTTGTCTTGTGACGCAATTGGGTGATTTCCTCAAAGTGTGCCCAATCCACTTCCAGCGCTTCTTCCTCCTCTGGAATCTAGTTTTTTGTTTCCCACAGTAGGTTGTTGCTGATAGTGTCTGGCCAACGGATCCGAAGTATCTTGCGTAGACAACCGTTAATAAACACTTGTATCTTCTGGATAATGGCTTTCGTAGTTCTCCACATACAGTAGAACTGCCTTGACATTTGTATTGAAAATTCTAACCTTGGTGTTGTTTGACAATTGTGTTGAGCTTCAGATGTTTTTCAGTTGTAAATATGCTGCTCTTGCTTTGTCGATCCTAGCCCTCACATCTGCCTCTGATCCACCGTGTTCACCAATGATGCTGCCCATATATGTAAAGGTTTTCACATCCTCCAAAGCTTCTCCGTCAGGTGTAATTCGATTGGTGCATGTTGTATTGTATCGGAGAGTCTTGCTTTTCCCTTTGTTTATATTGAGACCTACTGCTGCTGCTACACTGGTCGTTTTCTCCTGCATTTGTTGTTGCGTGTGTGATAGAAGAGCCAGATCATCTGGGAATTCTAAATCGTCCAGCTGCATCCTACCTGTCCACTGTATCCCGTACTTTCCTCCAGATGTTGACGTCTTCATGATCCAGTTGATCACCAGGAGAAAGTGGAAGGGTAAACAACCTTGCCTAAAACTGGTCTTCACCTTGAACGAGTCAGTGAGTTGTCCTCCATGGACGATCTAGCAGTTTAATCCATCATAGGAGTTCCGTATGATATTGACTATCTTCTCAGGCACGCCGTAGTGTCGAAGAAGCCTCCATAGTGTTGTCCTGTCCACGCTATCAAATACCTGTTGTTGTATGTGTTCAAAAATGAAACGAAATGATTTGCTTGCTGATAAGCACGAATGACAGTAAGCCGCTGGCGTCGTTACGCTGTATCTTCCAGTCAACTATATTTCGCTAGCTTGAAGATTCCCTTGAAACGTTTCAGACCTTACACCACACACCTTCGTATGGTATGAATATAACTCAAATACTTCTAATTGCATTCAAGAATTCACTAAGTAATGCCAAACCAAGACGTTGCATCAGTCCATCAAGTTATTGGTTAAGTTTGAAACATGTTGGCAAGTGCAGTTAACCTAGACGGAGTCCAAGCGATGAAGGATACCAGTGGTTAGAGATGTCATGTTACATAGCTCAAAGTTTGTTACAATGGCACAGGTAGATTTACTCGTTACCTTGCCCTACGTCTTGCACTCTAGTATTCGATCGCACCTATCTTTCATACCTTAAGGAACCATATGCTTAGTCCTTAATCTCTGCCATTATTATAACTGCTACATTGATGAGGCCCGTTTACTGTTCATCTTGTTAATGTGATATGATATTTTGGGCTAACGCATATATGTTGGGTTCTACGTTCATTACAAGTGACCGACTTGATTTAATTTGACATACTTGTACTTATATCTGGAAGAATTCTTATTATGAATTCAGCGCACTTTTATATCACATTAAAATATACTCACATGCATTCCAAGCTTTCTTATTAAAGCACGAGCCACAGATTTGAAAACAGGATCGTACAGGTGAGTACGTGATCTCTCCATACGTGGGTCAAGCTGTAACAGAAGATCTAGTACAACTAACTGACGTAAACTGGCATGATGGACAGCCGGGTTACCCAATCCTAAACAAACCACGTCAATTCCACTTGGCTCATTCTGTTTATTTGATATCATTGCGAATGCCTGATTGATAGACTTTAACAAACCTTCTAGGAAAGTTCTGTCTGGCTTCGAAAGTAGTAAACTAGATCGAATACCATTAAATCTACCTAAAACCGTTTCCAGGCTGTCATCATCTATGTAATCTAAAGTAAAAATATGTTTCTGGATAGCAGCACATTCCGCTGGTCGTGTAGCCTTGTGTTTACGCTTTGTTTTCCGTGAGCAAACACGAAGCCACTCCTCAGAATCTTTATCGTCCAAACACATCACAAGTTGTTTATTCAAACGAAACAAGGAACTTCTGTTATGTACGCATCGACAACTAACTCGAATTCGCCCCTTTCTCTTTTCGTAACCTTGAGTCTCAGTTTCAGTTTTGAAGGGACAGTAGGTTGAGTGGCCTGTGTTAGTCTTGGGAATGGTAATTTCTTTTGAAAGCATCAACAGATTGAACTTCAATCACATGTTTAGGGTACGAGTTCCATTCGTTGATGATTCTGGGATTTATTCTTATCAACAGGACAGACATCATTTAAATGCGAAAATAAAAACCCGGAACATATGTAAAAAGACCATAGCTAGATCCCGTACCACTTACGAACGACAGTTGGCATACAATAGCCGTACCTGTCCGAAGCAACTGTTTTCGTACGCTAAAAGGCGGCCAAAACGTAGTGATGGCATCATTGTGTTATTGTTAAACGAAAATTCAGATTTACTAGCTGAATCTGATCTAGCAAAAGCTGAGACATTTGCAAACTATTTTAGTGAAGTCTACTCTACGTGTAGTGTTACAAATACTTGTTCCATTTGCAACGAGATACCAGCCATAGGATCTATGCTCGTGACCGAGGAAATTTTTCTTCTATTGATAACTTCAAACCTTGTAGGATACCGGGGCCCGATGGGTTACATCCACGTTTGCTGTCATCGCTTGTTATTTCAAGACCGCTCGCGACGCTCTTCAACATGACCTTTTCACGCGTTCAACTACCTAGAGACTGGAAAGACGCAATAGTTAGTCCTATAATTGAGGATGGTCAGAGACGGATCGTATCTAAGTACCGGCCTGTCAGCCTGACCAGCATAGTAGTTAAGTTACTTGAAAAGATAATTCGGGCTAAGCTAGTGAGTCACATAGATTCGTACAATCTGTTAACTTCCGAGCAACATGGGTTTCGTAACAAGCGTTCATGCTTAACTAACTTATTGCGAGAGAGGTTTGGACAGCAACCCTAGATAACGGCCTGTCTGTCGATGTGATATTCATAGACTTTAGCAAAGCGTTGGACAAGGTTTCACACTTAGGTCTTATGCAGAAGCTCTCGAGCTTTGGAATAACAGGTGCTATACAGGAATGGGTAGGAAGCTTCTTATGTGACCGCAGACAGAGAATGAGGGTCGATGGACCGCTATCCGAATGGAAACCGGTCAAAAGTGGTGTACCCCAAGGCACCATCGTAGGCCCTTTACTTTTCCTTCTGTATGTTAATAAATTACCTCTATTACTTCAGCAGTCGACATTATTGTTTGCGGATGGTGTTAAAATCTGGAGAACAATAAGGAGTGAGGCTGATCGTTGTCATCTCCAAGTTGATTTAGACGAATTAGTTAGATGGGCTTGGAAGTTAATTCCAGAAAGAGCGTGCTCATGCACATCGGGCACGGTAATAGTTACCATTATACCATTAATGGTACATCTCTCCCACGCGTTCAAGAACATAAAGACTTAGGAGTAACTATAAATCACGACTTGAAAACTACTACGTACTGCAACGAGGCTGCTTCCAAAGGTTATAGTGCGCTATGGTCACTTCGCCGAGCATTTAAATGCTTCGACGAGGAGATATTTTGAGTTTTATATCCCACCTATGTAAGGCCACACTTTGAGTACTGTATCCGAGCAGCTAGCCTATGTCTGATAAAGGACACTAAATCACTTGGGCGTGTCCAGCGTGTGGGGACAAAATTAGTAAAGAGTCTTTCTAAACTCCCTTACGATGAGCTTTTGAAACGTCTAAACCTTTTCCCCTTATCTTATCGTAGGACATGATGTGACCTTATACTGACATTTCATGTCTTTAATTATGATCTGGGTGTTAATATTTCTTATTTTTTGCTCCCTCCAGCACTATTAATCTCCGAGGTCATAGCAAGAAGGTTCACAAACCGCGATCTAATAAACTAAAGGTGGGATCCCGTTTTTCTCATCGAGAGGTAAATAACTGGAACGTATTACCCGAACAAGTGGTATCAGCCCCATCAGTGAACACTTTCAAGGAGAAGCTGGACCTTCACTGGAAGGCAATCTGTCAGGATTACCACAGGTTCATCAACCTACCATCCTTACTACTGAAGACTGATTCCGATTAGATTCAGATTTACGTATTGCAACTGGGTGCAAATGGTTCTGGACGGAGTAGAAGGGGCTTTCGCTTAACAGGCTTCCGTATCTAGTAGCAGTGGATCACCGGTCCCTCCAGGTAGGAACCTAGGTATAATTAACGACAAAACAGAAAAAATATCGGTAAATTCTAGTGAAATACTGTCCTTAGTCCGTAAGAAGATGTCAAGTTTTCTCTTCAGACTCCTAGGAAGTCACTTGGATTAGCTCATCCAACATCGAATTACAGCATCTGACTACTCTTAGGAAGTAAAACATATGCCTGCGGTCCGTTGTTTTATGTTATGTCTCTAGGTTCCAGATGTTACCCCTAAGGTTTGTGTTGGTATTGGGTTTGCGTTGGTATTTAAGGGGGTGCTCAATAGTTTTCAGGGTGCTGTATGTCATGAGAATGTCACCTCTGAGACGTTTATACTCTGATGAATAAAGGTTAGGTGATGTGAGACGCTCCTCATAAGACTTGGACTTCAGCCCCCGAACTCATGTCGTGGCTCGTTGTCAGATAAGTTTCAATGTATTCATATCCTTTTGGAGTGGGGGAGGAAATATTATATTTCCGCATTCTAAACAGGGTTGAATAAAACTATTGGAGATGAAGTGGGAAATTCTGCTGTCGAAAATGCCAAAAATTCACTTTAACGTTACAATCACAAGGTTTGCTCGAAAGACATTTTTGTCGCAGTTAGCGTGAGACTTCAGATCACAGAGTACCAACACTTCTAGATCTTTTTCAGCATGGGATAAGTCTGGAGAGAAGTTGCTTAAGTTGTATGCGTAGTTTGCAGTGTGCTTCAGATGGACTACTTTACATTTAGAAATGTTAAAAGTAAGTCTATTGTTGTCTTCCTGACTTTTTAACCAAGTCAGATCCTCCTGAAGTGCCAGATTATCATCTTGGTTGCAAACTACTCTCCAAAGGAAGGGCCTGGAGCCTATGTTTGAAAGTTTCTGGTAAGCTTCTAAGAGTGCCTGGCCTCCTCACAAAGTAGTCGATTGAAGGGACGGACAACAGTTCCTCGGGTAACAGGTCCCGAGAATTGATTACTTGGTCTGAAAAGCTGTATGCTATGAGTATTTTGTTCATTCGTCTTTTGTACTCGTCTTCTATGTCCTTCGAGCTATTCTATTCTGGTAGGAAGGGAAAGAAAAGACATTAGATCCAGAATCATTTCCTAGCATTCGACATATCAAATTCAAATAAGATTTCTTGTGCAAAATAATCCTTTCCTGAAACTACGTTGTTCGTTGTCCAACAACTGTTAGTCCCCGCAAATGCTACTATCGCCTTTTTATTTTCCCTCCGGACTTTTAACCAAAACACTTGTCAGGCCGACAGGTTTGTAGCTTGATGTGAGCCATCTTGATCCTGTTTTGTGTATTGAAATGAGATCCGCATCCTTCCAGTCAATAGGTAAATCAACTTGGCCAAGTGACATATTCAGTATCTTAGTCAGTAGGGCGATAATATATTATGTAATTTGTCTCAGGACTTTAAGGTGTGGTTCACGCTGTTTTATTGAGTTTTCCGTGTCTGAAGTGCTAAGAGCCTTTAGTATGTCTCCTCGACCAAAGTCCACAGTGAGCATCCGACTTTGTGACTTTGCACTTGGGTCTAGTCCATCGTCTAGAAAAAGGGTCCTGAGTGAAAACTGCCCCAAAACAGTTCGCCGTGACTTCTGCTTTGTCCTGATCTTCATTCGTCACCTATGAAGCATTCCCGTAATTAGGTTGGGGATTCAGTGGTGCGTTCTTGTTCCGAAATCTATATGCAAGAACAGTCTCTTCGGATGATTGATCACTGATTGGGCCGACTGTTTCCTGTATTTTCTCTCAGCTTCCTGGACTGTACAGATACACTTGTTTCAGACCGATATCTAGCATTTCACCATAACTAGTGTCACAAGGCCGGTAGTGACACTTCTTTTGCTTCAGTAGACGTCTAATATCCTGGTTTATACAGGGATGGCCGTGCCTTTTCTACTTTTGGACTGTCCAGAGTATAGGTCTTTGAGTTAATTGGTAGTATAACTGCCGGAATTGGATCTATGCCTCTTCTACTGGTATGCTTGAGTCATTTTCTTATGTCTGTCTCCCAGATGTTGGGACTGATCACCGCAACTTCTTGACAGACCATATTAACCATGAACTTGAATATGGTGATCTCTTACTCCTACACGTAGTTGAAATGTTGTTTGATTGATATCACAACCGTGAGTGAAGACTAAGTCCGAAACAAACGGTGAGTTTTGTAGGTCGTATCTAGTGGGACATCATACGTACCGAAATAAATCTAGGGCGGTTGAAATTTCTAGCAAATTCCAATTAAGCGATGTTTTTGATGACCCTACTTTTAAGTTTTTTCAATTTGCAGATAGTGTAATAAAGTCATCTACAACAGTGCCTTTACGCCTGTTCGACCAGGATTTAAGTTTACTTAAGAAGAAGTCATCCACTACGTATTCTGGACTGAGGTATACTAAAACCAATTCAGTGTTTTGCCCTTTGTATTTCGGACGGCACCGCGTCGGCTCACTTGTCCTCGAGCTGTGTGACACTGTCTCGACAGCTCGTATGGTTAGGGTGACTATTATATGCAGGGTAACCTCACCATTTCTACGGTTTAGTCTCTCAGACCAAGGGGTAAATAACCAGTCAACTAAATCTCACTATCATACGTTTCTGACGTTGCTCTTGGTTCTGAGATGGGAATAATATCGAGGTTTCTGTGTCCATTACATCTTTAAACTCGACCATTTTATTTAGTGGGTTGTGAGCATTTGTGTAGAATACCTTTAGTTCTGTGGAAATCTCTCATATACTATCCAGAATAGTTTGGGGATCGTTTTACCCCTAACTTTCAAAATGTGATAAAACACCAAGCACAAAGTTTTTCCACTATTCCAGAGGCCCTAATTTATTTATTTCTACAACTGTCAACTGTCTCGTAATATGATGATTACTCTTATCATAAAAACTTGACTACAACCTTATGATGAAGTGACAAAACAGACCGAGACAAACTATT